AAGGCGGCGGCCGCACGGCTCCCGCAGCCCCCCGCCGGCGGCCGGGCCGGGGGACAGACTCACTCACAGTGCTTGGCGGACCGGCCCAGCGAGGCCGCCAGCTGCTGCCGCTGCCTCTTGCTGCTCATGGCGGCGGCACCGCCGCTCCCCTGGCAACGCGGGCGGGCGGTGACGCCGGCGGGGCACACGTACATACGCACACAGGAAAACAAAGAGCAATTTTTACCATACGTTTAAAAAAAAGGGCAGCGGTAGCAACCACAGCAACTGACTTTCAAGCTGCTGAAAGCGCTTCTGGAAAGAAGAGCTAAAAATTAGACAGTACAGACAATTGTGTTTGTTCATCTGCTGTCGGGAGACAAAAATCTAAAATACTTTCGCTCCCACATGGCTCGATTCCTGCTTTGTCCCACTGCTCAAACTTGGAACATGCCCGAAGGTTGCCTGGTGCCACCCGAAACCCCCGTCACCTTCTGACGCGCTCGGCGCGTACGAAGCCAGAACGCTGAAGGGTTGCGACCAGACTTTACTCTTCCCTCAGGAAGAGGAGGATGCAAGAGGAGTCGCGATGCGTTGGTTAGGGGATTGAAAATGGAAATATTTCACTGTCAGTATTAAGAAGCTTTGCTGTGAACTGACAGCGCCCGTAAGCCCCTTATGCAGGTACACCACTTCCAAAGCGTGACAGCAGCATCTGAAGCCCACAGCTGCCCAGAACAAATAGTTATATTCAGACAATTAAAATGACATGCCGGCTTATGTACTTGGAAGACTGGGGCTCATTTCCATTTTTATTTCTTTCTGTTGCAGGTAGTTGTGTAAGAATCAAATAAGGTATCACACAGGACAGACCATTTATGCTATGGTTCATTACAACTTCTTTCACCAAAACTGCAACACCACAATTTATAAAAAAAACAACCCCAACAAAACCAAACGCAAACCCCAAACCAAAACCCTACCGTTCACTGCATCTTGCCTTTATTTTAACCTCACTGACAAAACAGTGTCGAGAATCTGTAACATCAAGCCCAACAGTATAAAATATTTAATCAAAATATTCTTACTATGGTTTAGAGGGACATTACAGCAACTCAATGGTTGTATTTTCCCAAGAACTTAACTCGAAAAGTCAATTTCTCTGTAGAATGGCAATACAAAATCATCTTTCTCCCCCAGTTTTTAGTTATGGTTTCCAGACGAATAATCAAGGTCTTAAAGGTCTTAAAATTCTTGGCAATACAATATTTGAAACATCTGTATGCAATAGAGGAAAGCTCTAAGTTAGCACCTGTGCAATGAAAAAAGGGGTCGATCAAGAGTACAATCTATAGTCGACCACTCGGGGTGGACGGACAGTTTTTAAAGGCTAACAGGAGGCCCAGCAATGGGTACATCAATGGAAGATGCAATGAGATTTCATGTAAAAACTAAAATTGAATGGTTGCTTGTGTTTTCTTGCATGCACATTTAATTTATAAAAGCTTTTTTCAATTTCTAAAGCAACTAATTTAATGTAAAACAGCTTTATGATTTAGGTCAACATTCTGTAGCCCTCAAGTACAAAAATATAAATACAAACTGTTTAAACAGCATCTTTAATGAGATTCTGGCAGTAGTTTTTTTTTTATCTAACAAGACACATCACGTAACAGGTCTGCCACTGAACTTGCTTAAGAGTAAAATCAGCTTCAATATGAAGCTGTTAAGGTATCAAAACCCTGCTTTTTACATGCTAAGTATCTTCAGCAAGTGTGCACTTAAACACAGCAATGAACTTGACTGTAAGAATAACTAAATACATACATGAAACTCTGCATGTGGAACGTAATTCATAGAACTGGTTACAACAAACGATTACTTGCATTTTGTTAATTTAAAAATGGTACAAATCATGCAAAACAATTCTAAAGATAATGCAAAGAAAGCTACTAGTGTTTGCAAAAAGTGTTCAACTAAACCAAAAGTACATTAAATGAAAGATGCATATTTACTAGCAAAGATCTATCGCTATTTCAAAGAAGCAGAGGTAAAATCTTCAGGTTTTGAATGTCAGTTATACTGCAAAATGTCATTGCTCTTGCTTAATGCAGAAGCACATGCTTAGAAGCCCAGAACTGCTTATTCAGAAAAAGCCTGCTGACAATAGTTCTGGCTTCCCTAGAATCGGAGATGCTGCATGGATTAAAAATAGCAAAGATTTGCAAGAATCAAAGGCAAAGGCACCCTATTCAGTTAGCCAAAATGGTAGCATTCCCCTTCTCGTAAGCATGAAGACGGCAATGGGGCAGATGATAAACATTTCTACAAAGGCAGCATTTTAAATGTTATCATTAATTTCCCATTTTGTAAATGCCATTAGCAGACACCAGCTTGTAATAGTTTATGTATGATATTAACCTGCAGGATGAACTTGGGATTTTATTTGTCCTGATTTACAAATAAAGACTATTACTAATGCTTTAAAAGACTACTTTTACTATCTAAAAAGTTTAACTCTCATTTTCCAATATTTTACACCTCAGCTGGACTACCATCTCATACAGTTTCAAACATCTGACACTGCTTACTGGAATTTTATAAAAGTTGTACCTCGTGTATTAAGCAGCAGGCAATAACAATGGTCTTTCCCAGCACAGCTGCATCTGGCTGGCTACTGAAAGATTAGGAATATTTCTAAAACACAGGAAAACTCATGCAGTTTGGTAAAGTTTGCTGTCATTTCACAGTTTAAGTTTCCTTTAGTCATTGCACTTCTGTTGATAGTCTTGGGTTTTTTAAATATTATTCTGAATCCGAATTTGAACCAGCGATCTTCTTTTTCTTCTTTTTACCATGTTTCTTGTGCTTCTTCCTCTTTTTTGTTTTATCCTGAAAAATAACAAAAATTAAATGGAAGTTATTGTATAATAAAAGTGCCATCTATTAAATTCTGCTAATGCAAAATGAGAGCACAGAAAGGGTATCTTTGTAAAGACATTTAAAAAGAGATTTCTACAAAAGCCTGGTGAGAAATCACAAAAAGAAAATTCATATTTTACCCAGTAATTTGCATTAGTATGAGCAGTCTTCAATTTACCTCCATCATGGTCTGGCTATTTCACACCTCTCATCACTGTCACTATTACATTTCCTAATCTTTTAAATGATTTTCAGTGCTTTATATATTTCTGAGAAAGTAATAAGGAAGTGCTTTGAAAAGCAGTGACATCTTATATATGTGGGAATAACTAGGATGTTTACAGATTTTAAAGTAAGAGCTTATATTTACTGTGCAAAATTAAATAGTTCAACTACGCTTGGCTAGAATGTCTAGCACTTGCACCTCATTTAAAATAAAACAATTATGATCTCAGTTGTAAATATCAATACACTCAATTAACCCTACTGAATTCAGTCCTGAAGTTATCCTGATCACTGTAATACAGAAGCTGAGAGACAAAATCTTGTCTTTTTGCAAGCAGGATTTCAACTAGAATTCTTGAATAGGTGTGACATTATGTAAACAAAACACTCTTGGTATAAAAGCTTTGTTTTATACATATTACTTAAACGCACAATTCTTCTAAGAAAAAAATCACTATCAGTCACTAGAAATTTTATAGCAAACCACTTCTATGATTATGAAAAAACAAACAAGGTCCATGGAAAAATGTGTATTCGGTATCACTGATACTCCTATGCTTGTATTTTTAGGTGACTGATATAAACCTTCCCTTCACCCTAACTCATCTAGATAACTAAGATGCCTAATTAGGAACACTGCTGCTGACAGGGGAGATAAAAAGATATACAGACATCTCAAGTGGGCATTCAGTTCTCAAAATCACTATACTCCTAACAAGGAGCCTCAGGTACATGTGATGAATCTGGGTTCTATATAAATCACTGCTGAACCTTCCTCTCACTTTTACCAACAGAAACAAGTCAACAAAATTGAGGAAAGTAACAGGTTGCTGACAGCATTTTATTTGGTTGGGGGAAGAATTATATTAGTGTAGATGTTGCAGCTATTATGTCCTAAGGCCCCTTCATCGTCTCATATAGGGGGCTTACCAAGGAAGAATTAAACACAACACTAACAAAGGAACAGCACTGATATCTGTATGGCAAACTTCTACCCTACTTGATACTACACAGATATTAGTAGTTCTAGCAGGTTGATACAGAGTAAAATACATGCTACAGTAAGTGTTCAACTTGCATAAATCTCAAATCATATATATCTATATAGGTAAAATAGTGACAAATTCTTCCTTATTGTGACTACAGCAGATAAATGGAGAAATTGTTAATTTAAATTCATGTGACAGTAGTCTTTTGCTGTAAAACATTTGTATTACTGCAAAATGTGAAATTGGAAGTTAACCAAGTACAGAGTATTTATATCCTAAAACTACAGTATGAGTAAGAAGGATACTTGCTGTTTTCTCTTTTTCCTCATTGTTTTTCTTCTTTTTCGCTTGCACCTAAAAAAAAAAAAAATTAAATCAAATGTAATGGGAAAGCAGCTTTGGAAATGCCTTTTTAAATAAAAGTTTGAGCTTTTGTTGCATACAAATGAATGATGGCACAACAGTGGCAGAACATACTGAACAATAACCCATGAAGAAACACTGGTTATCTGTGTTATATTCTAGAATATGCGTTATCCTATAAACATCCAATTTGGAAACACACTCTGCTTTTAATACACAGCAGAACAAGAAGCAGCAGAGATATAATGGTAATATTACTAAGCTAACAAAGTGGCAAAAATTCTTAATGAAAAAACGCAACACACTGGAACCTTCCCAAATGTTGTAGTCCCACAAGAATACAAATCCTCAAAGTGGATATACAAGAATACAGATCCTCAAAGTAAATATACACAAGGGTGAGAGTTAAGATTATTATGTCCAAAATTTTTTAATTCACTGGAAAAGGAAGCCAAAAAATTTTAGCCATCTTGAAATCTGCCAATCTATTCACAAACACTGGAGACAAATTTTGTGAAGGACACAACACCAATCACTTAGCCTTATTTCATTGAGCTCTAAAATATCCGTAAAAAGTTGAAAAGTTTCAAAAAGATTAATTCAAAATGATTGTAGGTGATAGGAGCTGTACTAAACAATTCTTACTAAAAGTTTTTATTAAAGAGAAAAATATGACCAACTTTGAATATGCTGCACTCTTAAATTCAACTGTACAGAGCACAACAGTTTCAACAATGTATTAAATCATAGAATCATTTAGGTTGGAAAAGACATTCAAGATCATCGAGTCCAACCATCATCCATGCCCACCAAACCACGTTCTGGAGTGCCTTGTCTACGCGCTTTTTGAATACCTCCAGGGATGGTGACTCAACCACTTCCCTGGGCAGCCTATTCCAATGTCTGACAACCTTCTAAGTAAAGAAATTTTTCCTAATATCCAATCTAAACCTCCCCCGGGACAACTTGAGGCCATTTCTTCTTGTCCTATCTCCAGCCACCTGACAGAAGAGACCAGCATCCACCCCACTACAACCTCCTTTCAGGTAGTTGCAGAGAGTGACAAAGTCTCCCCTCAGCCTCCTTTTCTCCAGACTAAACAGCCCCAGTTCCCTCAGCCGCTCCTCACAGGACTTGTGCTCCAGGCCCCTCACCAACTTGGCTGCCCTTCTCTGGACAGGCTCCAGCACCTCCATGTCTTTCCTGTAGTGAGCGGCCCAAAACTGAACACAGCAGTCAATGTGCAGCCTCACCAGTGCCCAGTACAGGGGAACACTCACCTCCCTGCTCCTGCTGGCCACACTATTCCTGATACAGGCCAGGGTGCCGTTGGGCTTCTTGGCCACCTGGGCACCCTGCTGGCTCATATTCAGCCGGCTGTCAACCAGCACCCCCAGGTCCTTTTCCACCAGGCAGCTTTCCAGCCACTCTTCCCCAAGCCTGTAGCGCTGTATGGGGATGCTGTGACCCAAGTGCAGGACCCAGCACTTGGCCTTGTTGAACCTCATACAACTGGCCTTGGCCCATTGATCCAGCCTGTCCAGATCCCTCTGTAGAGACTTCTTACCCTCAAGCAGATCAACCCTCCCTCCCAACTTGGCGTTGTCTGCAAACTTGCTGAGGGTGCACTTGATCCCCTTGTCCAGATCATTGATGAAGATATTAAATAGAACTGGGCCCAATACTGAGCCCTGGGGCACACCCGCCGCCAACTGGATTTAACTCCATTCACCACAACCCTCTGGGCTCATCCATCCAGCCAGTTTTTTACCCAGTGAAGAATACACTTGTTTAAGCTAGTTCGTTCATTCACTCATGTGAATCAGTAAGTGAAAAGCATTATAACATCTGAAATTGAGGTTTCACACTGACCTCCTCTGTCTGATCCGATTCTGATAAGGATTCTGATGATAAAGGTCCATCACCACGATCGGCTTTCTTCCTTTTCCTGTGGTGATTTTTACCTTCCTACACAAAGTAATATATTTGTGAGTAAAGTCAGGCCTTTCAAATTTTATAAAACCTCTGCTTAAAACCCAGATTGAAATATTATTTCTAAGTTGTGAAATATTTTTAAATATTGCTGACATTAAACTAATCACTCATCATCAACAAACTACCCTACCAACTGTTAACATGCTTTTAGTGGAAATAATCTTTTTCTGTATATTCCTTTCTCTTGTTACTAAGACATAGCAGCCTTCTAAAAGTGAGAGGAATAATACTACAGTATAGTCTCTTACATTAAATAACACATGAAGGAGTAAGCATTTGAAAATAAAATGTTTCACCACTTTTAAATACTACTGAGTAAATTAAGATGTCTCAGTATGTGCATACAAACGCTGCAGCTTCAGACTCTTGCTTTGTTGATGAAATTAAAAGAAACAGCTTCCTCTATATTTGTGTCCAAACAGGACCAGCTGTCCCTGCCAGCTGCACTTCAACACTTCATGTATAACCTCAATATATTTAAAAGACAGTCTTTTTTAAAAATTATTTTTAAAATTTTGATGCTGCATGAGATTGCTCTGATGAGCTACTTCCCCCCGTGACCCCCACTTTGCTCTGGACCAGGCAAGGTGTTCCCAAGACTGAAGCTACTTTCTTCCATTCAATTTCTAAGGCCAGAAACTGAAAAAATTGTTGCTAATCATCTTTTTGCAAGGTGGGATCACACATCTCAGTTGTGCTATTCTGTCTATTAGAAGTACCTCAATCCTTTCCCAAAAGTACTCATGAAAAGTACACATGATGCAGCCCATTTGAGAGACGGGGGAAGCTTCAGGTAGGGGAAGACCTCTAGTCCCCAAATGCCCTTTGCTTTCAGAAGATGTGTGAAAGTAGCATTACAGTAAGGGGCTATGGTAGACACTCGGTTTTCAAAGAGAAGCTTCAAAGTTAAAAGGAGCTGATGGGAAATGGAAACTCTGTGAAATGGAAGCAGGAACAAGGGAAAAAAAAATCAACACATTTGCCTCTATGCAATGGAGAATTTATGTATCAAAGTCAATACTGTTGACTGGAACAGTAGAGGCCGATGCGATAAGAATGGCAACTAGAGAGAAGGACTAGGGTGGACTCCGAAAGCGTTGTTAAGTTTACACATAGGGTAGAAATAACCAAAATTTAAGTCAACAAGATTATTTGCATTAAACATAATGGAAGGAAGAAACTCCTCAGGTGTGTGTACAAAATGCTGAGGTGGTAGGAAGGAAAGAGGGCTTTCATGCTCAGAGAAAAGACAGTCTAAGGTAATTTTTCTCAAGCTAATACATTTTTCTCTGCAATTTATCACAGCTGTCATAAGTACAGTATCTATAATTATGGCTACATTTAGATACATATATCCTCTGCTTGATGTTCCTTAATTTACAGCAACAAGCCAGTATCCTACCAGGCATGCTACTGAAATATCATCACACATATTTTTAGCTCAATGTGACTGCTCAGGATAAAACCCAAAATACTAGAATGCAGCTGATCTACTACAGCAGATTAGATACTTTTTTCATTTACCTTCATAACAAGAACAGATCCAGCAGTTTCCACTAACAACAACTACTAAAACAGGAGCTGAACCCAACGAAAAGTCTACCTCAAACCTGGGGTACTGAGTACCTTCTGACTGTGTGGGTTTGGACAGAAAGTTCCCATAGGTGTAAACTGAGGCATTCAATATTTAAAAAAAAAAAAAAAAAAAGAAAAAAAAAGAAAAAAAAGAGTGCCATTATGTATGTAAAATGCAATTCTGATGTAAGTATTTCAAGAGTAAAAAATACCTTCTCTTTTTCATAATCTTCCTTTGACCTTTTCTTTTTTGTGCTGTCCTAAATACAAAGGAAAACATAAACCATGACAAAATTATTTCAGGAAAAAGGCAGAAATCCCAAAAGCAGTCTGACCCATTGTCTTTTTCTGTCTATCGAAGGTTGTTCTTCAAAGTTGTTCCTCCTACCTTGCAGTTAACAGGAAAAATATGAAAAAGCCATAGTTTTAATGCAGCTGCTAATTCCCTGAACAAGCAGTGTAAAAAGATCTGTCTGGAATCAGGTAACAAGATTAAGTGCAGTACATGTAGAAAGCCTCTGGAAAGGCTACCAGCTATCGCTACTGTAACCACATATCACATATGTCTAACACATAACAGTTTGGAGTCTTTATTCTCTATCCATGCCCATCTCTGCTGATCAGGCAAGGGTTGAGCAGATATTTCCATGGAGTTTTCTGCCTTCCAATTTCAGCAGTAATGGTATCTCTGTGTCCCTTTATGGAGCAAGTTTTCAAACTCCCATTGCACAAATTCATATGTGTATGCAAACAGTGATTAATCACAATTTATACCACACTGAACTAGGTATTCCAGTGAAAGCCTGTGATAAAGTCTACACACAAAATCTTAACAACTCACTGTATTATTAATATTTCAGCAAGAAATACAGTTACTATCCACTGTAACACAGAAAAATGCTAACATAACAGAACAAATTGCTTCATATATCTTCTCCACTTTTTTGTTCATTCAGTAAGCCTGTATATCTACATTGCTCTACTTTCAGAAAAGGAAAAAGACACCCTTAATTTAATAGGCATTTGGGAAGGGCTTAGTTCTCCAACAGGAAGCTACTCAGTCCACAGTTATTTAGAGAGGCAATATTCTGGCCACTGATACCCTGCGATACCTGTATATTCACAAATGGTGTTCAGTTAAATAGCACATTCACAAGAATTTCACAGAACATTTTATTTTTTTAAGTGTTAATGTGGTATTAGAACTAAACGTTTGAGCAGCACAAAAGCTGCCTATGTCTGAATTCAGAAAAATAGCTAAAAATTGCTGGAATAAAGTGTGTTCATTTTCTAAAGATCAAATTATTTCTGCCAGGCATTGTGGCCAGTGAAGGTAGATTCCCGATTGCATCTGGAATTTACAAGCACAGCTCAGCTACAATAAGAACGCATAGCTTTATATTTGGAAGATTAAAAAAATATTGATACATGAAAGTCAGAAACATTTATGTCTTTGTAATACAGATCAAGAAAACTTGCCAAGGGTACACCTCTGCATATTTACCTTGCTGTCTGACTCAGATTCAGAAGTTGAGCTTGCTGAAGACTTCCGTGAGGAGCGATACTTTTTTTTCCTTCTTTTCTTCCCTTGCTTTTTATCCTATCCACAAATATTGTAGGAAAAAAGAAAAACACAACCCTGAATTTATTCTTACTAGAATTAAAGACTTACATTAAATGTAAAGAACAGGGAACACCGAATTCCTGCATGTTATGTTCTCTTGAGGAATAAAGTACACTACAATTGATTCTTTTAGCGGAAGACCTTCATAACTCTTCTGCATTGAAAAAAATGTAAACTGGTGAAAAATCCAGGTTCTCTAAATTCTGTTTATTATTTAGATATGTGCTGTAGAATCTGATTATCTGTAACAAAGATTTTTGCTAAAAAGTAAAAATGGTATGTTTGCATTTTTATGATTAGATGGGGGATTCTATTGAAAAAGCATACAGTTCAATGTTAAAACAGAAATGGATCCAGTTTACAAGCCATCCACCCAAAATTTATAGTGTTCATAAAGAAATTCTTGAACAGATATATATCTAAAATTCACAACTTTATTATATGTATCAAATGCATAAAAATTAAATAGTTTTATGCACACCAAGGCCTCAAACAATATTCTAAAATATATTACCAAAATCTGTGTTAAATAAGCCTCACAAACAAAACATGTTAGATTCTAATAAGTTAGTTCTTACCTCATCTTCCGAATCAGATGAACTGCTGGAAGAATCAGAGCTTGATGAAGAAGAGGAAGATGAAGACAACTTGACCAAACACAACAAAAAGTGAAGCTTGTGAGATGCAGCATTTTGTCTGGCAAATAGTCAAAAGTCCATCCAAACACTCCCTTTAAAATTTCTTCATTTGCGAAGTATTATCAATGGAATTTTACTTCCAAGAAGCTGGTCTTACACAGATTTTCTTAAATAAAACTGTAAAAAGTAACTTCTAACATTTTTCATTTAATAATATCTATTTGATGATCTTTTCCTCCCTTTAAGCAGAAGTAAAATTCTCCTTCTACAGAATGTACGCCACCCCCTCTCAGACAAAAATCAGTTCATTTAACAGATAAATTTGAAATTACAGCTACACTCTCTCTTTCTAAGAGAACTTAAATGACAAATAGGAACAACCCCAAAGCAAAAAAGCTCAGAAAACTGAAAATTTTGCTCACCCTATTAGATTTCTTCTTTTCCTTTTTCTTTTTCTTAAAAATAGAATAAAACAAGTGTTACTTTGGCATCATGTTCTGTTGTTGTGCATTTAGGTTTATGTACTTTGATGCTGGCTTTTAAAATGTATTTATGACATTCTGTACATGGCAGTATCGATGATAAATCCAGTTCCAAACACAGACTGTATGAAATTGAAAATAACTTGCCTCTTTCTTTTTGGAGGAACTCTCGTTTCCACCCATTAATTTCTCCCTGTGTTTTTCCAGTTCTTTCCTCCAATTCTGAAAACAAAACCAAACAGAAACAGTGGCATGACAGTCATTTCCAAAGAGCTTTTTTTAAGAGACCTTAATTGAAATCCTGTCCTCTACCTGACATTACGGTTTTCACAAAACCCACAGAAAATAAACAACATATAATGTTAACAAAGGCTAGAATGCATTTGATTTTACAGAAGATTAATATTCATCAAAGTATCATGTTAGTTCACACCTTCATGTTCCAAGTTACTTGGATTTAAGAGATTGTAATTTATATTGGGGGTCATCAATTATGGAATTTTTGCTTTTGTATCATGGTGTTTCTTCCTAGAGCACTTTAGAAAGCCAGGGCACCCTACCAGAAAAATTGCTATTTTGTCTTAGTTTTAAAATCACTTGAAACAAAATTTCAAGACAAATTCTCCTGGGCCCTTCTTCAATGTATGGGTGTCTCTAGTGTCTGTTCTGGGCCTTGTTGGTGTCAACAATTAGATTAAATTATTATACACACCTTCATAGAAACGCTCGTATTTTTGTTAGACCAAGCACACTGCACGGATAAAAGTCTCTTCTCATTCCTCCTTTTCAATACCTCACAAGGTCTCTAGGTCTACCTAAAATACCCCCTTCAGGAGCTCTGGAACACCTAGCCCACCCTCATCAGACTGAAAGGCTGCTATCTTCAGTCTGTGCTATTTCTGCTTCCTGTGTCAGACACATCATGTGTTCCCTTCTTTATTCTTCTTCTTCTTATTATTATTTTGATCCTCCCTTTCCTGACAATGAAGCTGTACTGGTATTGTATTGGCAAAGCAATGATAATCCACATAGTGTGCTGAAGGGACAGAAGTATCGGGAATTATATAAGATTATACCTGTGCAATGCAGTATGATACATAGATCCTCAAGTCAGCAATACTGTGAATTAGCTGAACAGTGCTGCTGACAGACATGACAGATTAGCCAGGATATACTGCTGTGTGTAATGTGTTTCCACGGTCCAAGGTAGCATCTACGCAATATTGCAGTGGGTTGTATACTTTGATATACTGGCTACCCAGAACTACCTGAGGGGTCTCTAACAAAAGCCTGTGCTTTATTAGGCAAGTGTTCTCTTTAAATTATTTTAAGACTGTGCTAGTGTTATGTTTTAAACAAAAAAGCACAACATCTGTCAGTGAAATAGGAGAGATAGCACCTCATTCAGACACTTGTAATCTTTTCAACTGTTCAGAGATTTGTTCTTAGGAGCTTTAGGAAGAACTCACGGCCATTTCACAATTCCCTGCATCTCTTCCTACCCTTCTGCCATACTGAAAGGCTGTTATCTTCTATCCATGCCAGTTTCACTTATTTCACAGTAAAGAAAAGATAAAAGGAGGAAAGGAATATGATAAAATACTAAACCAAGCTAAAACTCCGAGCACATAACAACTGATCCTCTTAGACTAACACCTCATGACCCTCCAAATACTGGTATAACTTCTTAGGCAAAAAGGTATAGCAAGAATCCTATGGGCCCTATGCCCTTCCAGTAACAGAGGAGGAACTTCACCCAGAAACTCACACACAATGATGAAGACTACTTGAAGCTTATCTCAAGATACCAGAACCCAAGAAGGAACTGTAACAGTTAAATTCATTGTATCCTAATTTCTTCCTATGTGTATGTCGTTGTTTCACCCTGGCCAGCAACTAAGCACCACGCAGCTGCTCTGTCACTCCCCTCCTCAGCTAGACAGGGGAGAGAAAATATAACAAAAGACTTGTGGGTTGAGATAAGAATAGGGAGACATCACTCAACCAGTTACCGTCACGGGCAAAACAGACTTGACTTGGGGAAAATTAACTTAATTTACTCTTCCCCTGCTCCAGCGTGGGGTCCCTCCCACAGGAGACAGTCCTCCACGAACTTCTCCAACGTGAGTCCTTCTCACAGGCTGCAGTTCTTCACGAACTGCTCCAGCATGGGTCACTTCCACAGGGTGCAGTCCTTCAGGCACAGACTGCCCCAGCGTGGGTCCCCCACGGGGTCACAGGTCCTGCCAGAAAACCTGCTCCAGCGTGGACTCCTCTCTCCACGGGGCCATAGGTCCTGCCAGGAGCCTGCTCCAGCTCAGGCTTCTCACGGGGTCACAGCCTCCTTCAGGCATCCACCTGCTCCGGCGTGGGGTCCTCCCCGGGCTGCAGGTGGATATCTGCTCCACCGTGGACCTCCCTGGGCTGCAGGGGGACAGCCTGCCTCACCATGGTCTTCCCCACGGGCTGCAGGGGAATCTCTGCTCCAGCGCCTGGAGCATCTCCTCCCCCTCCTTCTTCACTGACCTGGGGGTCTGCAGGGTTGTTTCTCTTACACGTTCTCACTCCTCTCTCTGACTGCTGTTTTCTGTCTGTCCCAACTTTTTTCCCTTCTTAAAAATGTTATCACAGAGGCACTATCACTGTTGCCAACGGGCTCAGCCTTGGCCAGCAGCTGCTCCGTCTTGAGCCGGCTGGCATCGGCTCCATCAGACACAGGGGAAGCTTCCAGCAGCTTCTCAGAGAAGCCACCCGTCGCCCCCCCTGCTAGCAAAATCTTGCCACCCAAGCCCAATACAGTATACAACAGCAGTTACAAGTGAAACTTTCTTGTACCCTGCTGATCTCCAGTAGGTACTAAACACAAACATCAGAACAGCTGTATTTATAGTAGGGACCCAGCATGGAACACAATCAGCCTAGGATGAGAGAGAAAGAAGTGTTTTATAGTCCTATCTATATACTGAAGGCCATCCTTTGTGCCTTCTCCCTTATTAATATTATGTGTACATTCCTTGCCAAAGATGTCTGTTTCCAGTAATACACCTCCTTCCATTATATTTGGATTGTGTGACCTTAAACAAGTGAAGATTAGCACAACAGACTTTGATTTATCGTACCGGAAAAATGCATGAGTTTCATTTATTAATATAAACATATGGACTTGTATAACTATATTTACATTTATGAAAAGTTCAAGCTTTATTCAGCAGCAATTTTCAAAACTTTTTATATAGCATTTCTCTGAACTGAGAGTAGCTCTTCATTGGTTAAGTGGTAACTTCACCTTCCAATACAAATTAAACAAAACATTTACTCATTAAAAGCTGGAGTGAAGTGAAATATTATGGGTACTTGGTGCTGCTAATGATAATGGAGGAAAAGCAGCATGCAAGATAAGAAGAATCAAGTATTAACACACTGTTAATATTACTAACCTCGTTCATCTTTTCTTCAAACTCAGCCAAAGCCCTGGATCCTTTCTTTTTCTTTTCTAGTTGCTCTTTCACTTCTTCCCTACATAAAAAGGATGATAGATCACAATTTTCATGATTAAAAATACCTTATTCAGTGTCTAACTTTTTGTAGGGTTTTTTGAAGTTTAGCTTTGGCTTAACTTCCAACAGAAAGAAGAATGAAAGCATCTTAGATGTTATGCATATGGTAACCTAACCCTAATAACTTAAGTACAGTAGCTAAATCCCTCTGAAAGATCTAAAGCTAACTTTGCAATTAGGTAAATTGCTCTCTAATGTCTTATAAGAGGAGGCAAAATGGACTGAACATAAAGTGAATTGTTGATAATATCTCAAAGTGATTATTTTGTTGGGTAGGGTAAACTGTGTTCTAAGAATATACCAGCAAAATGTTTTTCTAGAGATTACTTTGTTTAAAAATTAAATACATCTGCAGGCTTTAGGTATGAGGATTTGTGAAAGAGGTAAAATGACCAACGTTTTGCTCTTCTGAGAAACCACTGCCAAAATATTTAAAGACAAAGGAGAAATATGCCTTTCAAAATGAAATACTGTTGTTTTTAAAAGAGGAGACTGAATACATATTTAGAAACAAACACCTTGGCCAGAGACAAGGAATCTTTCAAAATGTATTACTGGGTATTCTGGGGAGGAAGTAGGTACCAGTGTCATCTTAGTAAGAGGGAACAAATCTTTTACTCAAAAGGTCAGAAGGGCAAATGAGTATTGCCACTTACCATGTTGGTCTTGGCCTGTTCAAGTAGTCTTGTATTGTTGGTCCCGAATTTTGGGCAGGACCTCGCGCTCTGGCCATAGCTATGGGATTCATATAAGCCTTGAATATGAAACAACAAAGAGAAATATAAAATCCATCAGCTGCGCTATGATACCAAAATCTGTTCGTTTTGTTCTTCACAGAACCTTTTTCTCACTCACTGAAAAATAATTCTGACTTGTTTATAAAAACATAAAATATTTAACTAAAACAAGTTGATTCACTCTGGCAGAAAGGCTCAGTAAGTACTTGCAACTTGAGTTATACTGTGGCAGAAAGAACTCATCCACAGAGAGACCATATTCCTTACAATAATTCCCCTCTCTGAGCAATGATTTTGCAAACTAAGTACAGCATGACAATTGCTGAAATATTCTTCCTTGGGATATGGAAAATGTAATTAAATTTCAGCTCTTACTCTCTGGGACAACTGGTCTTATGCCTTTTAAGTTCTGCTCAAAATTGATGATAGTAGATTCAACAAATTCTGCATAAAGTTTCTTGCTGCAACACCAAAACAAGCAAGCGGTGGTGCTCTGCTACAATTATGCATGTATGAAAATTCAGTGACTTAGGGCTATTTTAAGGAAAAAATACATTAAAAAAAATCCCAAAACAATGTTACGAGGTATTCCATCTTTCAAACTCATGCATCCTCTTCATATTCACTCTAAAAATTTAATAGGTTATACAAGATTAATTGAAAACTTAGAATCTATAATCCACCTCAGCAATTAATGGAAGAACTCTAATCTAGCAAACAATTCTTCATTTGTTTTTTTTAATGCCAGTAATATTTTGCTCATGTGAAAGGAGGTACCTATACCCCCTTATCTCATGGGCTTTTATCGCTATGTCATCCCAACACTTCACAATTTACTTTTGCAAAACATAACACCTACTGTTCTTACTGTTCACTTTGGAGATGAGGAAAAAAAAAAAATCAACCAGTCAAAACAACGACCAGTTTTGGTTGCCCAATCTGTACAGTACAGAGTACAACATTTTGTAGATTCAAAGTAAAGATTTGACCATATGTATAGCTCTCACAGGTCCAACACTGCTTTTTATCAGGCCATAAAGTAAGCATTCAGAAACCACCATGCACAGTAAGTGACCATTTGTGAAAGCTGTCAAAAGCAGCAGCTTCTGCCTTCTTTCTCGTTCCCCACAGCAACGCTGAGTTTCTGGACTGGACTGTGAGAAGTCTGGCAGCCTTCAGCTCTTGGGCCTACGTTTAGTCCTGGAAGAGGGACTCCAGGGTCTGACTGGAATGCGGTGCTGGGCTGGAGGGAAGCACTCCCCACACCGAGTGTGGCTAACAGTCCATCAGCTGGACCACACAGCAGCAATCCGAGGACTCTTTCAAGTGGACCATTTTTTGACTCAATTTGACTCTGCAACTCTAAGGGTGACATACGCTGCCACTTCTCGGGGCTTTGTTTTTTTGCTTTAATTCACACAAAAAGGCTAGCTAACATGGGCAAGTAAATGCTGAGCTATGCCAATTTAAACTAGTTTAATCTCAGTTTGGCACCTTCTTTTGTAGCCAGGTGGATGCGTGCACTCAAGTAGTTATAGCACTTAAAGATACATATTCACATTATTAACTCTAGCATTTTATTACATTACAAATCCACACACAAGTAAAAGTTTTGCATTTGAATTCAGCTTCGAGTGGAAAAGGAGCTCCTTTAGCAATGCAGGAAAGCAGTATTTGAACACTGCTTTCATCAAACAAAGGTAATTTCAATGTAGCAGATCCACTAGAGAAGACAACAGAATGTAATCCATGACTCGGCTTACTCCAGTGAGCAAAGCGAGTCAACTCTTTTTCGTTACCATTCAAGAATTTATATCTGAAACCTCTAGCTTCTTACATAATTATTATTCCTAAAACCAAAGTTTCTTTCTGCTCTTAAATAAAAATTAGGTGCTTTCTTACCTGAGCTAACCTGAAACGAACACCCCACCGCCCCCCAACGAAACTCCCTCTACCTGCAGAAGAGGCTACAACTGTCAAATACTGTTTTTCTACTTCCTCAAAACTGACCCCAGATAACTAGCTTAGGAAGCTTCCTCTGTTCAGTGGCTTTCTTTAACTTTCTGGCAGCAAGCACGCAATGACTGAATACCACTCTGTATTTCACAGTTAGGAAATTTATGTCTTAAAACATGTTCTTATAATTTCAAACAGGTTTATTTATGAAGAATTACTTTGCCAATAAACATTTCTTAGAAGTATTTACACTACTTTGCCAAACTGCATGTCACTAGCTAGAGAGCACAGAAATGCACTCTCAATAAAGGAAGTGCTTGTCTGCACATTCATTTTCTTCTTTTGGCAGTTTGCTCAAGCAGTTATTAAAAGGTATTTGTTGTATAGCTTTCATCCCTATGAAAAGCACTGGCACCTTCAGTCAGCTAGGGTTCTTTGAGCAAGCAATACAAACTGTTACTGCCTTGCAAGTATCCTTCAGATGTGAAAAGAACCCCCAAATTATTTTCCACCTCCAAATAGTCAAAATGGTGGTGTATTTAAGAAGGGACATGGGAAAACTGTAACGGGGAGAAAGCTCTGCGATCACAGCAGAGAAGCAAAGGGTCCTATATTATAACTTGTCTGTGTTAGCAGCCATAATGGTGTAATGAACCTTATAAAGGAATATAAAGTTTTGCTTGCATTGGTAGTTGCATTCCAGCTGTCCTATTGAAATAAAATTAAGAATAAATAAATAGACACACAAATACACCCAAAAACATTGTAAGAGGGCAATAAATTTTAAGCATAGGCCGGATCTTGCAGTCAACACTTCAACTCTTTCCCAGGAGACCCCATTATTTTGATGCCTCAATAAGCAATCAAAGATACTTAGCTATCCGTTTGTATACATCCATCATGTCTATTACATACTATGCCAAGGTAAGCAAAGACTTTAGCCTGAATGGATCTGAGTACAAACTCACAGCATATACTAGAAACGGACAAAGAAAGGGGGGGGGGAATAAAAGTCTTATGACCTGTTTTTTGTCATAAAACTCATTAACTGTAAATTTACAATGCCTAAACGAAACATGAGCCTAAGGTGAACAGCTAACCAGAATGAAAAAGTTTAAAGAAAAACACGAGGAGGCATGAAGGTGGTAACAGTATAAAATTAGGCTCTGCAGTCAAGCGTGCAGAAGCAGATTTTTGGCCTTCTGACCGCTGGGTCCCGAGGTTAGCAGAGCGCCGCGTAAGGCAGGCTTTCAGATCGCTCCGGTACAGCCGAACGCCAACTTTAAGGAAATACGGCTTAGCGAGGATCAGAGCCACTTCGGCGAATGCTGCAACTCCCACGGGGAGCGTTTTATTTCTGCAAGGACCAGGCCAGCATCTTAATCATCTCCACGTCGCAGATCACGAGGCGGGCATCAGTCACGACAGCTGCCGGCGCTGACAAGGCAATCAGAG